TCCAAGCAGTCACTGCAGAGTCGGTAACGACTGAGTGCAGATTAAAAAAAAAAAAAAATCACTAGGGCAACTATCAGTGAATAATAAATCAACACTGACTGTGCAAAGGTATGCAGGATCAGACCTTACAGCTACACTGTATTTTGATGGTTTTTCTCAATATTATCCATGCCTAAGTTTAACTAGCCAAAAGGAAGCACATGTCCGGCTACTGTCAGATGTCTCCTTTCTCTGCCAATGAATTACTCAACTCAGGAAAAGCTTAGAAACTGAAGTTAAACTGACAGGTTTTAACAGGATGAATGAATTATCTTCCTTGATAAATTCCTTGGTTTATTTAATTTTTTTTCCTGGCAAATTATGATTGAGCACTCTTGCAGACACTGCAAGGATCAATAGCAAATGCACTTTCATAAGGAGCCATCCACTGCTGCTCTCAGCCACATGATATTTATTTTCACCATGTTTAAGACATTCTTCCCATTCAGAAATTACATGTCTGGAAGGTTTCCATTTGGAAAGTAGTAGTTTTCAAGAATCCGGATGTCTGTGCACGGGGAAATCCAAACATTAGCTGTCAAGTATAGGCTATCTCATAGTTAAGGGATAGCATACAAATTGGCAGCAGTACACAATTCACTATGAAAAAAACAAAAATAAACAAGTAGTCATGCATGAAGTACATATTTGAGTGAGTAGCCCAGTGTTGCTGCACACAATCTGAAATCAGATATCTCACATCCAATGGCTTTCTCTACAGCATTCATAGGTTTCCCTCCAAAAATATATGCCTCTATTTCTGTAAATAGAGCTCCTGTGATTAAATGCTTGTAGTAATTGTATGCCTGAAACAAGCCTATTTTTAACTGTGTTTAAAGCTAGATGATAAGGAGTAATGTGTTGTTTACTGTATTCGTGCTTTTTCTCAAACAAAATATAAAACGTACCTGCACTCAGAAAACCTACTGCATCATGTTTGATTTAGAAATGCACCTGCAATTTATTACTTGAATCAAGAAATATGCTCAGAATGAAAACAATTGAACATTACAGAAGACTTCTTATTTTAATCTAATTTCAGTTTAATGCCATCACATGGTCTTGCACTGTAAAAAGAAGATGTGACCAAGAAATTCTTTGGAGTTTCTTTTGCTATGCAGAAGCAAGAAGTGTGATTGTATTCTTTTTTTGCTTTGCTTTGCTTTGTTTTTTCTTTGCCATAGTGTTATTTCAGACATATCCTTCATATCCATTCTGTCTTGAGCATGACTAAGTTCCACATGCAAACACGTAAGAAAAACCCTCTAGATGAAGCACAGAGACATATCATTATCCGGTATCCTTTCCAAGATATTCCAGCACAATTTTTCTGCTCAGGCAACAACCAGTAATTAGAGACATCGTGATTGGAAATCAAATCCTATAGGGATTCATTCAGAATAAGACCTGTTGAGTTCAACAGCGCTTATTCCCAGATAAAAGTATTGCTTAACAGTCACAAATAAAATTATTATCATCATTATATAGATTTTCTTGTCATAGCTTTCAAATCTTCAAAGTGGCTTAGATATACCGCAAGAATTTGCTACAATAGAGGGAAGTCTCAGTACAACAAAAGTAACATCAGCAGAAAAAAGTTAAACAAATTCCAACTTCCTTGGATTAGTTTTATCCCACTTAAAAGTCACAGAATGCTAAATTAGGAATGTCTGATGAAGTGAACGTTTTCAGTCATGAATCTACCAATAATCTTCTTGGGTGAAAACCCCACATATAATGTCTACCTAGAATATCCTATCTGCATATTTATTAACATTCCAAGAATGTTGGAACATGGTTTTCCTTCATAGGAGACATGCTGATTCTTCTTCCACAAGGTTTGTTCTTTATGTGTATAATAATTCTAACTTAATCATGCTTTCTGCCGATTTATTGGAGACTAGTTAGACTGCAAGAATTGTACTAATGGGTCTATAATTTCCTGGTTCCTGCTGGATTCCTTTTAAAGTAATGTTGCTACATTGCCTGCTTCCTAATTCTATGGTAAGGTAGCTAATTTTAGCAACTTTATATGGTTTTATTAGCATCTATTCTCGTTCCCATTTGAGTTTTAAAAGGAATAGGAAAAACATAAGATAGTCAAGCCCATATTCAGTTTGACAAGCAGACCTTAAATTGTGTCAGCCCTATAAGGTAACCCAGATTAAGGAAGAGACATCGTGCAGATCTAAAGGTACTTTTATTAGAACAGCTATAGTAACAAAATCTTGCAAGTCTGAATGTGCTACCTTCCTCCCTATCTTCATGAGAATTGGGGGGGGGGGGAAGAGATATCTACCTGAGGCTTTTTCACAAACTACTTTCTTGGCCTATCCTCAGGTTTTGTTTATCTGATTGTTGCCTTAGTACTGGACCTTCTCTCTGTCCTTCAAGGCCATCCTCATTTGCATTATTTTATTAATCAACTTTTTCAAATGCTTTTTCATCCCCCAAATGACACAGAGGTTGGTCTTCATTTAATGGGCCTATGCGATTCATGTAATGATCCAGAGTGGATCCATTCTCTGAGGTCACAGAACAACTGCAGCCTATCAAAGCCTTCAGATGGCTGCTTTGAAACCCCCAGAGGTCTTCTATATACTGTTTTGCTACCTTTGCTTGCCCAGCTATTGTGGTGGATGGGTCTCCCATGCACGCATGCACATATCCATGCATAAAAGCCACCCTCAGTCTTTGAGGAACACTTTGGCTTTACTTGGTTGAATGTTCAACCAAGTAGGTTGATAGTGAGAGTCACTATCTAATGACTTCTACAATGTAGTTTGAAGCAGGAAATCACAGAGCATTAAATTCTCAAATATGCCAAACTGTGCTTTTCTGTTCTTATATAAGAACAAAATATCTGAAGTAATTGTTCAAATCAATCTTCTCTAAGTAGTCAAGTGTGCGTAAATGTGTGTATTTGTTCAACAGCCATTAAATAGTACTACTATTTTGAATAGAAGATATAATCCTGCGATTAGCATATTTGGCAGTGCAATTCTAAACATGTCAATTCAGAAATAAGCACCCTTCAATAAGAACATTTCAGCGTAAGAATTTCTGCAAAACTGCAACATAAACTTCACAAGGCGTAATAGCCCCAATAAAACAGGAAATGTCAGTGTGTTTGACATTGATTGGAAGTTGTTATTATTATCCTGAATCAATTCACTGCCCCATGAAGTCCTCTTTATTGAAGGCTATGGGCCATAATCTATCATGCTGATCCAATACAGGTTGTAAATAGATCTTTGTTGACTTCTCAATGTAGGGCTAAAAGAGAGTTACTGGCCTAATGTTACCCAGCTGGCTCCCGTGCATAAGGAAGAACAAGAACTAAAACCACTACACCATGCTGGCATTCTTAAGTGTTTGTGTGTGTGTGTGTGTGTGTGCGCGCACGTGTTTGTATGTGTGTGTTTGTATGCCACTTCAGGATTCTAGTTTACAGTAATGCAATAGAACAACTACAAAATATTCGTAAAACCAATATCAATAAATGCTTTTAATTAAACTATTAATAAAAATGCTGCTACCATCAGCCAGATCCAAACACCTTCCTAAAGAGGCATGTATTTACCATTTTGTGAAACCCCACTAGAATAGGGGTACATCTGTCCTTGGGGGATATTCCAAGGTTGTCCAAGGAGAAGGTCATTCTCTGGATCCCAGTCTTTTGATCACATTCAGGGTAGGTATCCAGCACAATTACTCCATCGTAAATCATATGGAGCAGTGAGATTCTACCTGAATAAGATTGTCCTGAGAATACCCAACACCAAAACTGTAAAGGGCTTTACAGTGACTATCAGCTCCAATGGGTATCAGGCGGTTGGTAGAGATGTTAAGGGAATTAAATTGAGACATCTGTAATTGTTGTTCCTACCTGAAAGCAACAGCTCCATGTTGCTATTAGTAAGGGTTGCATTCACTCTTCCAGATGATGCATTGAAATGAGTAACCGTCAAGGTCATTGGCTGTTTTTTGCCTTTGTAATTGTAGGATCCTTTCCATATGTAATTCTGAGCAAACACATCATCAGGAACTGCAAAATAAAAATAAAATCTAAATGTTAAGGAACATTGAATATTAAGGAACATTAGAGCTACAATAAAGCTAGTTAAAATGAGATTAGAACATTAAAAAAAAAAAAAACCTACCTGAGAAAAGCTGAGCAGCAGAATTCTGCCCTGGAAATGCTTTTGTTTTAATTAGTTTTCTGAGATTTTACACCTAAGTGCTATGCAGCTTTACATTAAACCTTTGTACCTTCAAGACTTTTAACATCTCCAGATCAACTATTTCTCCATTTTTTTTTCCAATTATCAAAGGGATGGTAAGACCATTCTACTATAAAAAGAACTAAAAAAATAATATCACCAACTTAATTGAAAGCTGCACAGTGCAGAAGTTCTGTCTAGCAGATATACTCTATGTATATCTAGTAGGTATATGTATTAGACAGGTTCATCGAAAATAGCTCAAATACCAATTACAGGAGAACCAACTTGCTTTCTTTTCAGAAGATCAGTTCATGCAAAATTATAATTTCAGAACAAACAGCATCTACATAAGATTGCATTCCAAAAATAGAATTTAGAATAATGTGTAGCAAATCAGGTTGTATATTTCAGGGGTAGTAAAGATTTTAAAAAACAGAGAAAAAAATATTAAGTTCTGTGCAAAGAAATTTGGGGGGGGGGACAAAGTTGCATATAAGATACATATGTTAAGAACTGTTCTTCATGAAAAAGAATTAATCAGTGAGACTACTGAGCAGTTCATACTTTCTCACTGTATCTTTCTGCAATATACTTTCTGCAGTATAGATTTTTCTTTGATCTGACTTTTCTTTTTGGGAGATTTAAAGTAACACCTCTCAACTATGACTTGTCTGGAAAACTGACTTCCCAAACAGGATCTCCTAGAATCCATGCATCCTTATTTCAGATGACTCAATCCCTGCTCCAATTAGGAGAAGAACCGTAGTTCCTGGAGTTTAGGTTAATCAAAAACAAACAAGCAAACAAACCATGGGTCCAAAAAGTGTGATAAAGGAATGCTGTCATTCCATTTCAAGAAATTCAAGATGCTTTAACAGGTTAATCCTAGGGGCTGTAGTTCTGTAGAAAAAAAAAAGTGGGAGGGGGGACTAATGCCATTCAAAATTATAGCAATGTTGGTAGACCATTGGGATTCACAATTGGGTTGGTAGACCATTGGGATTCACAGAAGGAAGAACAAACAATCAAACAGACAAAAGCCAGGAAGATCTTATCTTTTACACACAAACATTCTTGAGTTTATAAATGGAGTGTAATAATCTATTTTACAAACAAACAGAAACATTCCATCTTACACATGCCATACATGGCATGTCATAGAAGTCATGAAGAGATAAAGGAAGTCAAGGTTGTTATAGAGTGTTAAATGTAAATGTGGCAAGAGTTTGGACCCATTCCATTTTTATGGATACTTTAGGTAAGAATGTATTATGAACACGTCCCTGTGCAGTTTGATATAGTACCTATCTAATCAATGAGTTCAGTGGGACCTATTCACAGTAAGTCATCTAGGACTGGAGCTGATTCAATCTTCTGTAGAAAGTTTGCCAACATATTCAAATCAAATGCTTGTTCTGATAGGACTAAAAGGCCTGCAAGGTCCCTTTCCACCCAATGATTCTATGATCTCAAATGAGAAAAGATCTTCCCATGCATATGGACAGAATGTAGCCAATCAATAAATTCCAGTCTATGAAAGAAGTGGCCTGTTCTAGGCTCTGTCTAGTAAAGAAGGCATGAAGCTTTCCTATTTTATATTTCCTAATGTAGGAAAGGTGAAAACTTTAAAGGAAAAAATTCAGAAACCACAAAATGATTCAGGATAGATGCCAGACTGACTCCTTAATTAAATCATAACCATCTTTCTTATGCCAACTTATCCTCATATTCTTATGTTGATGCACCACACACACTTAGTTTCATATGGGAGAGTTAAGTTCAGAGATGTCCATGAGGGGCATCAAAATTTATACTGATGGGTACAGCATTCTGAATGAAGCCCCATCTACCATCTTGTAGATTTTGACACTCCCTGTGGATGATCTTGTTTGCTCTAACCCATCTGATTATTCATGAGTTTATATTTTGAAATTTCAGGCAATGTTAAAATCAGTTGCAATCGTACTTATTTTGAGGTGATGGTAGGAATTTTGCATTAAATTCATATATCTACTTAACCTGAGATTTAGTTTTAGTGAGCTCAGACTGTTTTCCAAGGTGACACAAGTAGGATTGAATTATTAGTGCTCATCAAGTTGCAGCCTTGGAGTTCTTAAACTGCAAATTCTTCAAGGTAGTTTTAAGGACAGGTCTGAGTTTATTTTTTTGACACATCAAATACAAATATTTCATAACTGAAGAAAATTATTCTTGGCTTCTTTTAATCTCTTATAGGCATTTCTCACATTTTAATGCTAAATCAAAGTATCCTTTTGGAATAAATGAATGTTAATCATCATAAACAGAAGTGCAGAATGATGAGCTAAGCTCTATCTAATGCCAAGCATAAATCAGTGGTGAAGGTTTCATTCATTTCAATAAACTGGGGTTAGGCTTTTAAATCTGAATAGATGCAAATAAACCAACTTGTATTTGAATACTAAAATACTAAAACATGATGATGCACCAATAAATACATGGAATAAAGACAATTAAAAAGAGATTCTGAGAAAAGCAAGCAATTGTTCATTTTATGTTCCATCATAATGAGGCTACTTCATTTGGCATTTCAGTATGTGCTTATGTATTCTGTTGACTTGAGCATTAAAGTTTGTAATGAAATCATATTTCCTTGTTCAAGCGTATTTATTCTTCTGTGTAACTAGTTACAGTCTCTTCTGCTGAGGCAGTAAATAGAATAATAAGGCAATACCTCACTGACAATTTTAATAAATGTTGCGTAAAATTAAAAGCACATTGCAGCATTTCTTAAATGTAATCTTATATTTACTGATATTAAAATTTAGTATATTATTATTTTTCAGATTAAAATTAAATCTTGTGAAATTTCAAAGCAAATTTCTTTCTATACAGAAGAATATAATTATGAATGATTTAAGGACATTTTACAATGAGTTAGAGTCCTATCAATGTCATTATTGTAGCAATGGAAGTATGAAAGCATGTTTATTGAATTGAAAAACTCAGGGTACTTCCATGCAGCTACAGGCTTCACTCCCTCCATCATCATCATCATCATCATCATCATCATCATCATCATCATCATCAGCATCAGCATCATCATCATCATCATCATCATCATCATCATCATCATCATCATCACCACCATCATGATGTTTGTAGTATTCTACAAGTGTCCTCACTGTTGCTGTCTATGCAATACTCAGTACCTTTCATGATCTAACCAGTACTCCTTCCCCAACGGGGAAGTACAAAAATCCCCATCCCCAGATTTCTGTGCCCATCCTTGTCATTACCTTGAATTTATGTTCACTGTCTCATTTTTTAAGCCAGTTTCTGTGATGAGTTGTTACAAAGAAATTCCTCTGCTTTGTTTAAAAAGAACATCAGTACATTGAGAGACCATGAAGACAAGCTGAGTTGCTGGGAGAGCATTAGCCAAAGAGTCAGGACGAGACAAGTATTCTTGCCAACATTAACAATGCAAAACTATATTTCCAGTAGAAGCACACCAAATGTTTTACGCTCAAAATATTTCAAGTTCAGAATAATTGTCTGGCTCTGGAACAAGTTGTTCTGTTCATGCCAGAAGTGATACAAACTCAGAGTGTAGCTGTTTCAGATTCAAAATATTTTCAGAATACCCGAAACAACTGTTTCAAATTTGAAATGGTTTGTACACCTGTATTGCCAGCATTTGCTCTTGCACTGCAGCTGAGAGAGAAGTTAATATGCTCAGCTATGGAAGAGATGTCAAAACGTTTGACCTGAGATAGCCAGGATATGCCACCAGTCCTAGATTAGCGCAAATTGGATCTGGGGAGAAGGGTTCACTAGGTTCAGTGGGACTCACTTCTGATTCCAGACCTATTCAAGCCATATCTTCACTGCGTAAATATGAAATCAGGAGCAAAGCCATCCTGATTATTTGTCAGTATTGGAGAAATTCAGTTGCTCTTCACCTAGAATCCAATACATATATTGCTAGTGTCTAAAGATAGATGGAATAGAAACATTAGGTACCACCCTTCACTAGCTTTAGGTCACTGAAAATATGGCAAAACAGCTGCTTGTAACTGTCTTCCAAATGACAGTCACATTTGAATCTGAAGATGTAGCAAGTCCATGTCATAGCATCCTGGTATGGATTTATTGGTCTGTATGCCTCCCCCACTCCTTTTCTGAGTCCATGGAAAATTCCTGATTCTAACAGAGGTAGAAAGTGAAATGCAACATAGAATAGAAATAATAATAATGCATGCTTCTTCTTGTAGCCATTGTTTTTTTTTTCCTAAATTTATCATACATGTTTAGAATTATTTTCACATTAGTTCCGTGTTGCTGTAAATAGAAAACAACACCTATAATTCTGAATTGCTGATCTAATCTGGCTTATTCTCATTTCATAAGTTTATTGGAATTTGATGTGCCGTTTGGGTGAAAACCTGACAACAATGACATCATTCAGTAGGTTTAACAGGACTGATGATGATGATGATGATGATGATGATAACTGATACTATTATTATTGATATACAGCACTTGAAAACAGATGCTTTGTACAAATGAAGCACCTGTATTTGAAGAATTAGCAAACTGTGTCCTCTGCAAGACTTACACATTTGCTTCAAAAGCTGCCTCTGGTTGTCTGGATTTGCACTAGTGTGTAGGCACAATACTTCTGCTGGGATCAACAGTGAAATGAAATGGCTGTGACTGCACACTCATGTATAGCCAGTTGAGAACAGCTTTTCATGAGTCTAGCAAAGACACAGCTGCTTTAAGATTTTGAAGAAAGAGGCTCCATTTAGGCTAACACACTTTTCAAAACATCTTTTTCAAACATTTTGTATAGCCCTAGCTGTTGCTGTTGTGATTATTATAATTATTATTATGCTGTATATCCCATCTTTCTGTCCATGGTGCAGCCAGGATGACTAACAACCTAAATTAAGTTACAAACAATTGAAAATCAATTAATTAATTAAAAAAATAAAGTCATTACTAACAGAGGGTTGGTTAAATGTCTTGACTTCTTTCCTAATAGTAGAAAGGAGGACACAATATTCAAATCCCAAGGAGGTGCATTCCAAAACTTAGGACCAGCATAGGAAAAGTTTTGTTATAATAAAAATTTCATCCTATTCATGCTGCATTTTCATTTGCTATCTATTCCACCCCCACAGTTTTGGGATTGGTTCAGATTAGCTAACCCAAACAAACAAAATATTAACAGTAATCTATTGACTTAAAGAGGACGGAGTAAAACTTCATTTAACTATTAGCAATGCCAGGTACTTGCCCAGAACATCACTTCTGTTGAGTTTCCATGTCTCTTTATTTCTATATTTGGTGTCCAATCTTATTAAATATCCACACTTGGACCAAAATTGCTAGCTAAGTGGTAAGCTACTGCATTATACCTTAAAAGTACATAATTCATCAAGCTGAATGATACTGACATTGCCAACTGTACAGTGAAATGTAAAGTAATACCAAAAGCAACAGCAAATCCTCCTCATTAGGACAAAACAAGAATCGTAATCCTGCCAATATTATGTACTTAAAGGTTCCAATGATTTCACTGGGTGATTTATGTATATGGCTAATGGGATCAAAAGTTGCTCAACTTTGGCTGGATCATAAATAAGAGAGGTGAAGTTTTCTTTAATGCATAGAAAAAAATCCTAGGAGGTAATTAATTTAAGCTACGGCTGCCAAGAATCATTCACCTATTTTTCTGTACACGAATGAGTTTGAGAACTACAGAATTTTCTTTTGTGTTCAGCCTTGAGAAAAGATACCTAAAAGGGGATATGGTAGCATTTTTCAAATACTTGAAAGGATGGCACATAGAAGAAGGTCATGATCTGTTCTGTCTTGTTCCAGAAAGCAGGACATGGAATAATGGATTTAATTTACAGGAAAGCAGATTCCAACTTAATGTCTGGGGGTGGGGGGGCAGGGGAACCTTCCCTAATCGAAAGAACAGGAATGGAACAAATTACGCAGAGAGGTGGTGAGTTCTCTTTCATCGAATGTGTTCAGGCAGAATCCAGACAGCCATCTGTCTCGGATGCTTTCATTTGAATTTCTGCACTGAGTAGAGGGAAGGATTTCATAGTTTAGACAGCCTGCTTGAATTAGATTTTATAACTCTAATTCTTCTTCCAGAAAAATTTAGGTTTTTTTGTACTTTTCTGAAGACTGCATGAGTTAGCACCATTTCCATTCCCACGTCCTTAGGACTTCTTTTATCTTCATTATATGAACCGTTATATAATACTGTATATTATCATACATTATATGCATAATAATATACAGTATAAATCAGAGTTTATATTGTATATTATTAACAAACAGAAGAAGGAATCAAGGCAAACCTCTTTAAACTGTTTAGGTGGGTGGCCTCAGCTAATGAGATATGGCCTTTGTCTAAATGGGAAAATACTTCTTTGTTTTTGTTTTTTACATGTAGTCCTCGCTTACCAACCACTCATTCAGTGACTGTTCACAGTTACGATGATGCTGGGGGAAAAAAAAAAAACTTTATGGCCAATTTACAACCATTTGTGAGCTTTGCCATGTCCCTTAGTCACGTGATCACTATTAGAGTCAGCATGTGTTGTCCTGTGTCTGACCTGTTGTTTTTCTTTCTCTCCTTCCCACCTCTTGCAGGGGAGACTCCATCTGCATGCAACTCAAAAGTCAAACAGGGCCAGTATATAAGGATTAGGGTTAGCACACTTTGCATAGCAGCTGGTCAGATAGCAGGAGCTGATGGCTGTTTTTCCAAGGTAGATGCCTGGTCTCCCCCATGGACAAGCAGGAGTAAAGATGCTGGACAGGAGCAGCAGACGAAGGAAATTGCCTTGCCACTCTGCTCACTTGGGGGCTGCATGCAACAGGGCACTCAGCGAAGCCCCATCCTTCACCTCTTCCCCCTCCCCAACTTCTAATGCCCATATTGGACTAGGGATCCCCCTCTGCAATATCCATGACTGGAAGCCCCCCTTCTCCCCTCACTGATCCCCTCCCATCCAAATGCACCCTAAATTAAAATCTAATTCAAATAGGTTATTTAAAGTATTAAATCCCACCCAGGTCTGCAAAACAAGAGAGAGGAAATGCCTGTAAGCCACTCTCTCCCCTGTCCCTGTTAATGCCCAAGTCACTCTGGCATTTTCCTGCCCACATCCCCCTCCCAGGTGCAAACCATAGCCCCTATTCTCCCCTCCCCCACCACAGAAAAGAAGAGTCCTGCCAAGAGATTTCTGTAGGCAATCTCTCCTCTGTCCCTCCTCACAGAGCAGAGAGACTGAGGAGGAAGGGGATTACAAGAGAGGAAGCAGGCACACAATGGGGAATATACCGGCTGTTTACTGAGTGCACTCATGGCTGCTGGTGCCAGTGCATTGATTTTGATGTGTATTCCCCATTGTGTGTCTGCTTACTCTCTTGTAATCACTTCCTCTCCTATTAATGTAAATACAAACATTAATTCCATTCTTGTTAATTATCCATCATTGGGATGAGCATTCAAAAGGGTGGGGAAGTGGTTAAAAGGAATACAAAAGCCAAAGGTGTGAAACTGATTACTTTTGTCTGTTTTGAGCTGGAAAGCAGAGTCACGGTCACATGATTTCCCACTTAGTGACTCCTTCACTTAGCGACCAAGTTGCTGGTCCCAACTGTAGTCACTAAACAAAGACTACCTGTATTTTGTTTTGTTAGTTTTCCATAAAGTTGTTGGGAAAAAAATAACCCCATTATTATAAACCGTCTATAAAAGACTTATAAAAAATAGCCAAAAGGGGACTTCAGTACTGTCACAAATACTAAATACACAGGCATTCATATTAGACAAATTAACATATACAGTATAACCCACAGTAATACCTGATGTGTTCACTGGGACTTGTTCTTAGGTAGGACTGCTCATGTGTACTGAGGAATTTGAACTTTTCAATTAAGTACAAATTGATCAGAATAATTTTCTAGGTTAATGTGCAGACAGGAAGTTGAGTAGTTCTTTATGTATGTATGTATGTATGTATGTATGTATGTAAGTAATAGCCTTGTTGCAAATGCTATTTGAAAAAAAAATATTTGGAAATATATTTTCTAAGAAAATATCATTAAAGGATATAATGAAACAGAGAATATGCAAGAAAATTTAAAACTGCAAATGTATGCATAAACAAGAGAGACAGGACTTATGGGTACACAGTTTTAAATGAAATAACAAGCACAAAAGATCAATTGCTCATCACTAAGGTTGAAGAGAATGGCTATTTTTAGGGTAGCCCTAAGAAAAACATAAAGAAAACAAAATCTATTAGCAAATCTGAATTATCTCTAAGAATGCTGTGGTCTGAACCTACTCTTTCCAATGTCAAAAGTTATGAGACAAAAAAAGTTATAACATTAAGAAGCCATACCTCATGTCCTAGAAATATGTAAAAATGCACCTGATGGAAAACTGTTCCATAGTGCTTAGGTCTGCAAACAGGTATAGTAAGACTACGTATCAGTTGATAAATATGGGTGAAAATAGTAACATGTTATTTGAAATCAGACTGAAAAAAGAATGAAATAGTCTGAAAGAAGAAAGCAAAAATTACATGTACATCATGTAAAGCTTCTAAAAACCCAATTTTTACTTTATTTTATTGTGGAGTGTGTTTGTCAGTGAGAGATAGTTATTCAAAATACTAAAAAAATCAATTCTGGATTTGCCATTAGAAAAACTTTAAAATAGTGTGGGCTGTGTTTTCAATAGAACCTATCTATTACTTCTTGAAAGGACTACTCTTTTAAGGCATCTGAGAAGTGAACTGACAACCCATGCAAGCAATTCTGTTGTATCACAGCTCACTACACATGAGTTAAAATAGAAACCAAATGAATATTTTGCTGGATTATACTGCTGCCATTTGCACAATTATTCCCAAACTCTATCATTTCTTTTTAGCGAATTATATCTCCTGTTCTTTTCTCAAGCTTATTTTGCAATTAAGATGCATCGACTCCCAAAATACACTGAGCTTACTCAGTTATCTGGAAGTAAACACCATTACACTCATTGGGATTTATTTCTGAATATGCAGTGCCCTGTGACCATTTAAGTGACTTTTATTTCATTCTGAAAGCTTCTCGTTAGCTACAATACAAGTAGACCTCCGTTAACGATGGTAATTGGGAGTAGAATTTCCATCGCTAAGCAATGCGGTCATAAAGTGTGACATCATGTGACAGCATCACTTTGCGATGGTAATCCCGCCACTCCCCATTGCCACCTTTAAGTGAGGAACCCGGGTCATTAAGTGATGGCTCACCAACAGGCTGGTGGACAGGTAAGTGGCTGCTGCTGGGTGGGGGAGGGTGCACAGGTGGCCTGCAAGGTGTGGCACAAGCGTGGTGGGGCTGGGGTGGCTGCTGCCAGGTGGGGGAGGTGTGCAGGTGGCTAGTGAGATGCGGTGGAGGTGTGGCAGGGCTGGGGGTGTTTACTGCCAGGTGGGAGGAGCATGAGCGACTTGTGACCTTCCTTGCCAACTTCCCCACTGACTTTGCTTGTGATGATCACATGACTGTGGGAAGCTGCAACTATCTTAAGTATAAGCTGGTTGCCCAGATCACAATCACATGACTGTGGGGGTGCTGGGACAGCTAGAATTTCAAGGACTGGTCTTAAGTACCACTCGTTCAATCCCATCATAACTTTGAACAGTCACTGAACAGGTAGTCATTAAATGAGGACTACCTGTAATTCTTAAAATAAAGATACTCACCATTTAATTTAGGGCTTGGTGTTCCCAAAGCAGGTCTAGGATCTTTCACCAATATTTTGGAACCAGCTGTTGATAAAAGTAAAAACAAATAGATTGCTTATATAGGGGGCACTCATTCTCATTAATATTAAGCGATTGTGACATATAGCCTTTTAACATTTAATTAAAGACAGTACTGGATAAAAGAATCAAAAGACAAAAATCAGTGCAATTAAAACCACAACAATATTTGAAATTTCTCGGTACTATATATGAAAAGAATCCAAATTAACAGAATGTGCTATAATCATGACCCTACTAAAAATGACAACAGAATTCTTGTGGTTGTTATGAATCAGGATTACATTCGTAGACTATGAAATCAAAATTTGATTTTAAAATGTTGCATCTGCATAGCTCTTTCTAAGTAGCACAAAAGTTTTGTAGCTATTGTGGAGTCTTCCAGAAATTCTATTTTCTCTTGTTCCTTTTGAGATCTCTTCATATATTTTTGGGCTGTTCAGTGTTTCAGATTCCATTTGACAGAGACACTTTGAATCTGAAGCATTACACAGCTGTCAGCCTTGTGAAGTAGACCAGATAGGAAACACGGCCAGATGAGCTAATTCTACTTTATTGTAAGGTTACATTAACAGAAAGTTGCAAGTCTGAAAGTACATCTCTCCCCCCATCTGCTTTACAGCCCAAGAAACTAGGGAGGGTCCCTTCTGAGATGTTTGTCCTGCCCACATTCCTGCTGTAGGCTAAGTTGCCTTTTATCTGACCATTCCCTTGGCTGCATCTCTTCATCTCATTCTCACATACCATTACAACAGCCCTAGAATGTTCTTATGATGGTTTGCACTTGCTAAAGTGTGTGGAGCTAAATTAACACACATTAAGCCTACTTGCAGTGGGAAGAATCAATCCTATAAGCTTGTGACAGTGTATGGAAGTCTAGGCTGCTTCTGTGATTCACATGATTACAGTTAACAGATATACAGATTTGTTCAAACTGTAGCAGCCGCATATATCTAGAAATGCTATTTCACACAAATAATGCTTTTGAATAATACCCAATGTGATCGTTTCTCCAACGGTAGGAAGACTTTTTAGATGTGTGGTCTGTGATGACAAGGAGTAGAATGGGGAAGAAAACTTGACTAAGGCTGATTTTTTTTTTTTTTTTGCTCTTAGTAGGACAGGAAGCTAAAGCCACAGAATTGCACAGATTTGATTCTTCAAGGTTAGATGTTTTATGTCCCAATCTGGAAGAAATATTTAGATTAGATATACTTCCACTTCCATCCATTTTGGAAGAGAAGCTTTTAAAAGGAGGAGGAGGAGGAGGAGGAGGAAGCAAGCAAGCAAGGCATTAGGTAGGCCCATGTGTTCAGTACTGTTCCACCCAAATATTCATTTAAGATTTAACATATGTTGCCAAAGCTTCAATAAACCAATCATAAATATTAATGTATAATAAATTACTGGATGCTTCTGAGAATCAGATCAGATTATTGTAAGTATGTGTGTGTGAACTGTATATCTGTAGATTTCTACAGAATTCAGAAAAGAAATGTATTTATGATTTTAAAAGAAGCTCACAGTTTAAAGGCTGACCAGCACAGCTGTTACACATATCCTTACTTTGTTTTTTGAATCTTGGATGGTGGTGAGAAAGATAAAGTTAATATAATTCTTTATTCTTTTAAATCAGCAGTGAAGTCACTTTTCTGTGAAAATGGTTCATCAGCAACAAAATAAGAGGAACACACTGTTTCCCCCATCCACTCCCATGACCTTTCCATTTGAAAATAACAGGCTTTTGCACTGTCTCTGTTGTGTTGGAAATCTGAAACACTTTCACACTGATCTATACTAATGTATGTAAAAAACATGGAGTTATTTGTCTTAACAGCTTCTTCCCAAGTGCCTGTGTGCATAATTGAAACAATCGCTGCAAAACAGAATTAATTAAACATGCCAAACCATGTGGGCAGTTAAAAAGGAGTTTTTAAAAAAAGTTTATTAAAAAAATCCATAAGCATATCATAATGCTAGCTTTCTTTCCCTCCTCTTCCACATTTTTGACCACTTTCAACAAAATTGCAAATAATAATAATAATAAAACATCAAACAATAACATCTGCCTATCCCAGGTCCTTGAGAAGGATTCAATAGGTCGATAAAAATGCCAAGTCCACCCTAAATACCTGGCTTACTGTGAGACCAACCATAATAATAATAATAATCTGGCAGTGGTGGCCCCAGTGGTTATTGGCACATTGGGTGAGATCCCAAAAAGCCTTGGATGGCACTGAGAAAATCTGTGCATTGACAAAATCTATCAATTAACAAAGGCCACACTGCTTGGATCTGCATACATACTACGCCAATACGACATCCTAGGTTCTTGGGAGGAACTCAGTGCAAATAAAGGCCAACACCAGCTAAAGAACTAGCAGTTGTGATTTCATATTGTGAATAATAATAATAATAATAATAATAATAATAATAATAATAGTAATAGTAGTAGTAATAGTAGTAATAATACCATCAAACAGCAACATCTGCCTATCCCAGGTCTTGGGAAGGACTCAATAGGTGGATTAAAATGTGAAATCTGGTCTAAACATCTGGCTGACTGTGCGACCAATCATCATCATCATCATCATCATCATCATCATCATCATCATCATCAAGCTGCTTTTTGGCATTGACAAAAATCACCGTCAATCAATTGCAAAAGGCAGCTTTACCTGGAACAGCTTACATCCTGTGACAATACTTTTAATATTATTAAACAATAACATCTGCCTATCTCAGGTCCTTGGGAAGAACTCGAAAGGTGGACAAAAATGCCAAATCCAGTCTAAACAACTGGCTGACTATGCAACCAACCATGCTGATAATAATAATATAAGAAAGTGAGAAGAAAAGGAAATGGTAAAACTCTCATGAGTGGGGCATAGAGCCTTTTCTATTTGTATGTCAAGCCAAAGGAAAACGTGATTTGGCTACTTCTTCCATAGAGCATTTTCAAATCAAGGAGCATGGGTAGTGGTGGAGGTTTCAGAAACCTGGACAGTTGTTCAACAGAAAAAGAAAGAAAAGACACAGAACCCACCTCATGATAATAAGGTCTGCTCTGGGGCAGCTGAAACTACCATAGATTTGGTGTTGGTTTTAGTTTTAAGATTCCATTTTCCTATTGCTGCAAACACTTTCTTCATCAGTCTTCTTGGAGATGAGCTACAGGTCCTGTAAGTCCAGTGCTAGATTGGCAGCTTTTTCCAAGTGAAAGAAGTTTGGCCAGTTTTTCCTTTCTGCTCTAGTAGAGCTACCAGATCTGGACTGCAAACCTCCCAATGACCACAAGATGGGAACAATGAGAAACTGAACATTATATCTCTTTTCTGCCATCTAGTGGCAATAGAGATGTGTGCACCCTAGAGCTGGTAGCCCTACAGTCAATATCTGACCAGCTGCTATGCAAAGTGTCCTTATATACTGAAGAATGAGGGAAATTTCTTTCTGTAGCAGCTTGGCTGGACCAATGGTTTTTCCCCTTCATCTGTAGCATTTCTAAGTCAGCAGAACATTAAAGGCTATCATAGATCACTTTCAAACTACTGAGGAATTCGGAACTTGTGCCCCTTGTATAAAGAAACCTATCAAAAGAACATAAGCTCAGGTCTAACTACCATTTGATTCCCATTGTAGCCAATCAGATGTTTTAGGAATATCATCGAGGAAAATGTGAGTACTGTACAATTTATCCTTGTTCAAATTCACTTCAAATTATGTCCTGTAATATGGTGATGATACTAACAACATGAGAAGATAGATAGAGCTTGGTTGGACTTGATTAAATAGGCCACTGTTCTGTTCTCATAACAGCTTATCAAATGACTACAAGAAGCCCAAAAGCAAACAGCTGTTTCTAAGACTGCTTTGAAATCAGAGATAATACATTGTCAAAATGAATAGTAGCCAGTGATAATCCAATAGTCCATAAATGCAGAAACTGTTTTAAAGCTGCCCATTACTACATTTGTTGGTAGTAAATTCCATATTTCAACACTGTGCTGTGAACAAAGGATATTCCTTTATCTGTCCCAATGTCTACTATGCCGCTTTACCTGATGAATCCAGATTATAGTACTTGAGGGAAAAGTGTGTATATATAT